GTTGCTTCTGCTGTTGCTAGCAAACGTTGACCCAGGGACTTTGGGTAGTTTGGTGGGGCCTTGTAAATTACTCTAAAGGCAACCACGTGGGCAAGGATAGAGCTGTTGATGCTTTTGATTTCACTTTTGGCTAGCCATGCCAGAAGGTGATCCGGCTTTCGTTTTGATAAGCGCCAGCTCGTGCAACCGATATAACCGGCTCAACAGGAGCAATTTAATGAGTAGAGACACATACAAGTGGTCTGGGCTGGCAGCCTAGACTTACCTTCGCAGTGCATGACCGGGTTGGTTGAGAATGACGCCCAACTTTTCGCCGCCGGGAAGGTTTGTGCTACGGCTTAGAAGTTCGTTTGCTGCATCCCCTTGAAAAGGGACCTTGAAGAATAAGGTTTTCTTTTGCACAGCGGGTGTGGTAGGCTTTGTTTCTCTCTCCATCATATTCTATATGATGAATCTGTCTAGATATCCGTTTTACCGAAGCAGGTCCTGGAGTTTCTGGAGCTCCATTTCAATAGTGTCTGCCGAGCGAAATTTTCTGGCTCGTTGCGGTAAGCAGCAAACCAAATTACGCTTCTGTTGCATTGTTACACAACTGTTAATGTTTGTATATTGTCCGGATCAGGTTTTGGTTCGATAAACGCTCCTTCGGGTGCTAACATTAGGTCTTCGACTTAGAAGGACATCCAACAAAGGAAGCTAACCTGCGCTCTACACTTCCAAGGTGAAATTAATGGAGGGGTATACTTGGTTAACAGTATGTAGAAGCGCATTTCCATCCGTCTCTGCTGGGACAATGGTGAAGATATCACCGACAAAATGGCCATAGTGTTTTAACTCATGGATCTGCTAGCTGAGGTAAGACTTCTCCAGCTTGCCCATGAAGATGTTAGCCAAGGGAGGCCTGAGAGGCAAGCCAATGGCGACGCCGTCTATTAGTCTGTATATTTGGTTGTCAAAAGTCCCCTTTTAAGGGTAGGTATTGTGTGCTTGCATATCCTTTAGGGGTAAGAATTCCTTATAAACAATACTATGGTAACGAAACGCCCCAGGTTTGTGTAATACGGCACCGGTCGTAATAGGGGTTTGTGTAATACTGGACCGGCCGTAATAGGGGTTTGTGTAATACTGGATCGGTCGTAATAGGCGTTTGTGTAATAAGGCACCGGTCGTAATAGAGGTTTTATGGGTGGAGATATATCAGGGAAACGAAAATGGAAACAACTAAAGGAGAAACTAAACTCAGAACTTAAATACATTACAATGTAAGACAAATAGATGCAAAACTTCAAAGAAATAAGTAGTTAGTTACGGTTTTGTCTATAAGGCATTCTTGTCTCATCAGGCAATTGAGGCACGCCCATTGCTTTAGGAAGGTAGCTTTTTCTCTGCTGTCACAGTCAGCCTTCAAGCAGCACAGCATGCAAGAATACGTTGTAAGTTAACTCAGAAGTTATTTGCTCCTTTGCCTCTGTGCCCGAGGCTTTATGATTTTTTCGATAGGTATTGTGAATTTGGAGCAACTGTCAGATGCTAAGAATGTCTTATCCCTCTACAGGCACCTTAGAGCCAACTAAGGGAACCGTGGAAGTCGTACCGCCCACATCAGTAAAGGTGACTTGGTCGGCCCCTCAAGGCTTGTTTGGCACTGTTGAGACGTATTTTGTTGTTACCAAGGAGGAGGACAGGCTAGTTCGCAACGACTCGGTACCACCGACACAAACAAGTATCCTTCTGACAGAAATACCTGCTGACGCCAAATACCAATTCTACGTTCAGGCAAAGATTGCAGCAAACAGCCAGGGCAAGGGCGGCCGTCTCAGTCAGGAGGTCTTCATCGGTGGTACAACGAGCTCATGTAAGTCTTCCAACGGCAATTTTAATCTTCTTTGTTAAACTGCATTGCTCCTACTGTTAGGATGGGAGCCTGACCAAAGGCTAGCAACCTTGTCGGCTCTCCTAAGGCGTCGAGCCTG